AGACAAAGTAAGCATCCATTAAATTAGAGAAGAACACAAAATTATACGTCATCTGACATTAACTAGCACTAGGCTTATGACCCTGACTGTGCAAGCTGTGGGGACAATTTTAAGGGGAAGATTATGGTGGGTAAAAGTCAAGAAAGGTTTGGGGGAGGAGATGGAATTTGAGTGACTTCAAGTAAACCGTGTTAGGTTTTGGCTGAGATGAGATCCCAAGTAGGCCAATAACTAAGAGAAAACAGTGGGAAGAATTGAAAGAAATGTCACATCATGTCAAAGAAAAAGTCCCTACCAAAGAGGTGTTTAAAGAACTGATAAAAGAATGTCACTTCTTTCAAAGTCATCTAATATCATCCTATTTTGGACATTTTCCCAGAGTGTGAATATCATGGTTTATATTTGGTTCTCAAGAAATTCATGAGGCTAAATATGATCCTGGTCTATAAGTTGTTGTTGGTGGTGGTGGTGGTTTTTTTTTTTCTTTTTGCATATGTTTGTGGTACTGGGGATTGAACCCAGGGCCGTGTGCATGCAAGGCAAGCCCTCTACCAACTGAGCCAAAGCCCCAGCCCCAAATATGACCCTCCCACCTTCTTCACTGTATTTACATTTTCACTTTGGAGCCATCTAATCACAGGCAGAACCTGGTCCTACAAAATGCCTCATAATGTCAAATCTATTATCTTCCTTTTCTAGGTTCTAAGAGGAGGAAATTGGAAATGAGTCCTTGAATGAAATAAAAATCAAAAGAACAAATGCTTCCTTAATTCTTTGTTTGTTAATCCATCAAAGCCTCACATCCAAAGATCTTGGCATGGAGGGGGCCATGATTATTGTGATGTTAAAGTGTTTGGGTGATCCAAATATTTTTTTCTCTTTTCAATTCTTCTAGTATAAAGAGTCCAAGTCTCAAAGTCAGTTACTAGTATGATTCTGGAGGTATTCTAGACCAACTGATAAAGAAGGACATTTGCAGAATATCCCTTCCTGGGCCAGTTAATAATGTCTTTTGACCTTAATAATAAGTCTTAGAAAGGAAGAACTTTTTGTCTATAAAAATATAGAGGTCTTCAAATTATAAAAATACCATTATTTTTTGATATCTCCACAATGGCTGGATACCAGCACATTTCAAGAATTTCCAGTTGACCTTTAAAAAAAGTAGACCAGGGCTGGGGTTGTGGCTCAGTGGTAGAGCACCTGCCTAGCACCTGTGAGGCCTGGAGTTCGATCCTCAACACCACATAAAAATAAATAAATAAAACAAAGATATTGTGTCCATCTACAACTGAAAAAAATATTTTTAAAAAAGTAGACCAAAACAATTTGTAAGGACTTGAAATTTTCCTATAAGCTCTGATATTTAAGAAATTAGAAAACAATTTATTTTTTTTCCATGTCAAAACATCATGTGAAGAACTCCTAGTAAAATGATATTCTTAAATAATGACCCAGTGTAAAATAAAAGAACATTATATAGCAATGAAGGCCACTTTATCAGAAGGGTATCAAATCTGATGATAGGATTTATCATTTGAACCTATTTACTAATGGACCAAGATTCAGAAAGGAAGAGAGGTAAATTTCCCGAGGCTTTTGGCAGGTTTTAAAATAGTTTCTCTTATCCTGTCCTGACTTTGAACAAGAATAKCTAAGAAAGCCATTACTGGATTTAAGATCTAGCTTCACTCACAGTGGGGACCAATGCTGAAGTTCCCCCAAAGGTCACGCAGAAGCAGACAAAAACAGAAGCGGATTAAGGCAAGCCTTGGGCAGGTGATCTCTTCAAGGGCTCTGGAAGATAAAGGAGCTCTGCCTCGTCTCGGTGGCACTGCTCATTGTGTACCTAAAACCCAAAGATTAAGGGAACAGTATAAAACCCTAAATAGAAGAACAAAAGATGTCTTCAAGCCTCACTAAGAACTGTCCCATCAAACTGACTTACTAAGCTATCAAACAGCGACAGTTCTGACAGTTCAAAGGAAACTTCTAAATCACAGACTTCAGTAATGAAGCCCTTAAGGAGGCGGAAGGCAGCCAGGCTTACAGTTGTTTTTCCCGTCTCCTATCWCTTCCACCTTCCTCTTCACCCCACATCCGGGAGAGCAGCGTCTAAGGGGGCAATAACATTCAACTTTGCTATCATTCAGGACAGGCGTCACGTTAAAAGAATAGACATCAAGGTTCTGTATTTTTCACTCGCCACCTGAAGTACCCYGAAGTCTCTTCAAAATTCAGAAAACCAATACTTGCCTCTGTTGAACAAAGGATGAGACAGAAATGCAGAGAAGCCACTGAATCATTTAATAGTCGCCATAAACCTATTATGAACCAAAGTCTCAAGTAGTCTGGAACGTAAGGGTGGGAGTTGCTGACGACCAGGGATAAAACCTAGTTCCTGACAATAAAACAGCAACTAAGATTCACCGATGGTCACCAAGGTTGAGAAAGCCCTGATGGCTATAATGAGCTAGAATGACCGATTAGCTTAATGCGCTTCCAGGAGAAGCAAACTCAAGTGTTTAGATGTCATAATCATTAGTAACTTGGGCTGAGAAGGATGATTATATCTACAATAACGCATTACATTAGCTCTTTTGCTCTGGGGACATCAATATGTGAATAAGCATAAAATGAACAAACTTCATTTAGAAACTAATGTCTCTAAGAATGAAATTTCACACTTTCATGTTTGCTTATAACAGTTTAACAAAAACCCATTTTAAGGTACACTCCAAAATTGTCCACTGCAGAGGCAACCCCCAATCTRTAGGGAAACCATTGTCATAAAACCTAAGAAGACAAATGTAAAATGTCTTGCCACTTGCATGTTTTAGAGAAGCAGTTTAACAATTCCTTATCTCTTGGGGCTGGGGTTGTGGCTTAGTGATACAGTGCTCGCCTAGTATGCTTGTGGCACTGGGTTCCATCCTCAGCACCACAAAAATGTAAAATAAAAGATACTGTGTCCATCTAAAACTAAAAACTAGATGTTAAACACACACACACACACACACACACACACACACACAACAATTCCTTATCTCTTTCCCATTGTCCGAGAATTGTTTCAGGCAGGGCTTATGAGGATGCCATGGAGAAATTAATTGGTTCTCATCAATTTATTTCAAAGATTCTGTTTAATTCTAACCTAGAACTTAAATCTTTTATAAAGTAAATGGCTCAGAGTTTGCTCCTTTGTAATGAAGTCATAATCAATAAAGATTTGGAACATTTAATACCTTTGTTTTAATGTTTAACTTACTTTTAACAATTAGAGAGAACTAGAAATTCAGCCAAATATTCTACCCTTTCATGTTAGGTGGGGCCGGTACCCTAGCATGTCAGGAGGCAAGGTCTGTGAACCTCGTGCCAAATAGCTACATGAGCAAATAGCGAGATAAACAAGCCCTTGGTAGAGACAGAGGTGGAGCCAGGCTTGGRATGAATCAGGCCAGCCCACAGAGTGGGTGTCTCCTTCCCAAGTTGCTCTCCAGGGCACAATTCAAACCCCTATAAAAGGCCCGGCTGCCAGGTACCCAGTACACTTGCCAGCAGTGTCAGCGAGCACTCAACGTCCTCCTCTGGTAAAGTGGTAAGTCCCATTCTGTGGGATCGTGTTCTTCTGCGTCCTTCTTCAGTCGTCTAGCCATTGTGGATGTTGGGGAAGGAGGGCAACTTCTATGTGCTGGGCAGGTTCTCTGTGCCAGGGGGCTCTTTCAGTGGTGGCTAGTTCTCATGGACTCCATCCCACCTTGGTTTGGTTGGACCCCTACTTGGCCCTTGGCTCCAGGCTTTCAACCCAATACTTTGGCACATCAGGGAATGATAACATGTGGCTCTGAGGGGGCTTATCTTCCTAAATCACCATCTCAAAAGTGTGCCAAACCTCTAGTCTCTTTTCATATCTGGCTTACCTCATATGGACCATCTTCATATAGTTATGGCATCTAAGGTGCTTCACAGAGTTAAGATGAACCACTATGCACACACAGCCAGCAAAACCATCTATGTGTTCTTTTAACATTGGTCTGCTGGGGCTAATTTTTTGGTGTGTATGTGCAGAGCTGGGGAATCAAACCTTGGGCCTTGTGCATGCTAGGCATGCACGGTGAGCTATTATACATACCCCAGCCCCTAATGTTTTTTTAAAATGCCAAGATTTGAATGGCTTATTTGGGTTTAACAGGGGTTTACCATAAGACCAATATCATCCAGTTTTCCAGGCTCAATTTGGCCCATTGACTCTACCAATCAGGAAGGACCTCTCATAATCTTTCTATAAGTGCATATGTGAATATCCTTAATATATCCAAGTTAAGGCAGGTAACATGCACCCTATGTTTGCTACGTTAGTGTATCTGAATGTTGCAATGTCATCTTTTGAAGTTCAGTTTAATCTTAGAACTGGTGACTTATGGATTATACTTCTTGTTCTCTTCTGGACTATAATGTTGGGGAATAATTCCAATTCTTTTTTCATTGTTTCATTTGCTGCTAAGTGTTTGCTGACACTTAACAGCAAATAAACTGTACATGGCTCTAACCACTTGAAGATATACTAAAGCCTTCCTTTATCTTTTGGGTTTCATCTATCCTCTTTGTTCAACTTTAGAAGTCCTTGTGAGTAGCAATATACCAGTTTTAAATTCCTGCCCTCTTTACTATCTGCTCTGAAATGTGCTGGGGAGCTGAATGAGAGAAGGAAAGGATATGGATAATCCAGAATGGATAGACAAGTCTGTCCTAAGATTATCTGAAATTGATTTCCTGGCTTGAAATGTCTCAGTATCTCTCTTCCCCCTTTTGAATACCATATTCAAGGATAAAATGCTCTGAAAGCTCAGATTGGAAATAATTAGTACTTAAAGTAAAATTATTTAGAGCTCTGCCTCAGACAGTGAAATGAAGCCTCCCAAAAGCAGAAACAGAGTTTTGACTCTGGATTCTATTTTATTATTCTAGGTTTACTTGAACTTGAAGGAAGTAAAAAAAAAATGTCTCCACTTCTGAAAAGCGTCTTCGATATCACCGAAATTTTCAATCAGTATGCCTCCCATGGTTGTGAAGGTGCAGCACTAAGCAAGAAAGACCTAAAGAACCTCCTTGAAAGAGAATTTGGAGACGTCCTTCGGGTAAGAACTAACAAGAAAAGGAAACCGCTCCATTAATTTAGGACTATGAATTTTCTTCAGGAGAGACAGAGCAAGGAATGATACCTTATATGCCCTTTACACCAGGCCAAGTCTACACTACATCCCTCATTCTTTTTAAAAGTCTGAAGGTGTTTAGTTGACATTGAACTTGACATTTAAAAAGTTGGTAACAAGTTCRCCTACTTGATGGCACTGTCAGCAAGAATGAGCTGTTCATGGRACACTGCCACCAAAGATGGCAAACCAAACTAGACTTGGAAAGATTTAAATGTGCCTCCAAGCTTCAAGAGCTAAAATCAGCCTATTCTCTACTAAAATGGTATGKCCATAAATATTTTAAGTTGTTTGTCTTGATCCTGGAGATTGAACCCAGGGCCTTGTGCAAACTAGGCAAATGCTTCACACCTAGCTGCATCCCCAGCTCTTTTCAGCTTTATTTTGAGACAGACTTTTGCCAAGTTGCCCAGACTGGCCCTGAACTTGTGATCCTCTTGCCGCAGCCTACCAAGTACTTGGGATTACAGGACTGTGCCCACAGCGCCAAGTTTGCTTTCAAACATGGAATAGAAACCAGATGAGAAGGGCTGGGAACATAGCTCAGTTGGYAGAGGGTGTCCCTTGCATTCACAAGGCCCAGCACCACAAAAAAAAAAAGGAAAAAAAAATCAGATGAGAAGTACTGGCTGCTTCAGACAGAAATGGCTGCTAGAAATCTTCATAAATTTCCATGCTATCTCTCTCTTGAGGATAAGTACATTCTTATTCAAACAGCTAAAGAGAAGTTGGGTTATAAGATACGAAAMTTGCCGATAAATGTAGTACGCTTTGAAATGAGGTGTTCACATTTTACGTGGGGAAATGACTTGACACACACTGCACATTCTTTCTAATTGCTCTGAACATCTCTTGATAGTCAGCATAATATAAGTGTGAATAAGATTTTTACTGCCTGTAAACAATACATGCTAAAAGTTTTTTGWTTGTTTGTTTCTTCCGTAGAGACCACATGACCCTGAGACGGTAGATGTGATCCTGGAACTTCTGGATCGCGACTGTAACGGGCACGTCGATTTCAATGAATTCCTCCTGCTGGTTTTCAAGGTGGCTCAGGCTTGTTATTATGCTCTTGGCCAGGCCGCAGGGCTAGAGGAGGAGGAGAGGAGAGTCCAGGGTGAAAGGAAGGGGAGCCTGATACAAGATCGTAGGCAAGAAGACCAAAGGAGATTCGAGTCCCGGGACAGACAGCTGGACGAGGAACCTGCACACCAACGCCGGCAGAGGAGGCAGGTACAGGAGCGGGAGCGCRGGGAGCAAGAGGAGCAAAGGAAGAAGCCAGAGAGACGAGAGCAGCGCGACTTGCAAAGGCAAGAAATCGAAGAGCGCCGCGCAGAGGAAGAGCAGCTGCGGAGACGCCAGAGTCGAGACGCCGAGGAGTACCTAGAAGAAGAACCAAGTCGAGAGAGGCGGGCGCAGCGCGAACGTCAGGAAGAGCAACTGCAAAGGAGAGAGCCAGAAGTGCGACGCGAGAGGGCGCAAGAGAGACAGCTGCAGCAGAGGCGCGAGCAGGAGCTGGTGTCTGAAGAGGAGGCGGAGGCACAGGCCCGGGAGAGGTTGCAGTGGCAGCTGGACGGCGAGGCTGAAGCACGTCAGAGCAAAGTCTACTCCAGGCCTCGCCGACAGGAGGAGCAGGAGGAAGAGAGGCGGCCCCGGGAGCGAGAGCTGCAGCGGAGGGAGCTGGAGGAGGAGGAGCAACGCCGCGACCAAGACTCGAGGCCGCAACTRGAGGAAGAAAGTCAGAGGCGCCAGCACACGCTGACCGCCAAACACGGCCCGCGGGAGCAGCTCAGGAAGGAGGAGCAGCGGGAGGAAGAGCAGCTGCAAAGGGAAAGGAGGCGCCAGCAGCGGGCGAGGCAATATCGGGAGGAAGAGCAGCTGCAGCAGGAAGAGGGGCAGCTGCAGAGGGAGAGGCAATATCAGGAGGAAGAGCAGGAGGACGAGCAGCAGCGGTTCCGGGGGGCAGATCGGCGCCGCGATCTGAAATGGCAGTGGCAACCAGAAAGAGAAAGGGAAGTGCGTAATAACAGGGTTTTCTCCAAACGCAGAGAGAACGAAGAGAAGACCCGACGGCTGGATGATTCTCAGGCGTTGGACAGGCCTTTCCTGCAAGAGGAAGAGGAGGAGAAGAGAGAGCTAGAACGAGAGAGAAGGCGCCGGCTGCAGCGAGACCGGGAATTCCCTGCCGAAGAGCCGCTGGAGCGAGAGGAGCGAAGAGTGGCGAAAAGGCAAGATGCAAAGTCCCAAGAGGAGGAGCAGCTACCGAGGGAAGAGAGAAGGACCAGGCAAGAGAGAGACCGCAAGTTCCGTGCGGAGGAGGAGCAGCTGAGGCAGGAGCGGGAGGAGGAGCAGCTGCGCCGCCAGGAGCGCGACAGAAAATTCCGCCAAGGAGAGCTCCGCCAGGAAAGGGAGGAGGAGCAGCTGCGC